CTTAAAACAGAAAAAACAAGTCGCAACGGTGTTCGTCTTCGTGTTACATTTGAGAAAAATGTTGTTATTGCTGGAAATAATGTTTTCTTCCATGTTGATTTAATTAATCCAAAAGACAGATTGATACGCCATGTATCGCTTGTTCTTACTCAATATGTTGAATGCGATTCTCGAGAAAAAACTTTTAATATCATCAAACAAGATTTAGATCATATTAAATCACTGAAGCATAAGAGTATTAATAGAAACTTTCAAATACATATACCATCAACAACTCCAGTGACATTTAATTTTGGTAATTCGATTGCTAACTATTATAAACTTCATTTTGAAGTTCATCTTCGTGGAATATTAACCAATATTAAACTTGAAGTTCCTATTATTGTCATGGATTTAATACCAGAAACAAACGATAATGAGGATGATCAGTAAATCTATTATTATTATACTCACAAATAATTTTGCTCAATAAAGAATTTGAATAAAGGCCAACTCAACAATGCTATCAACTGAGGGTGTGGGTGCTGAATGAATACAATATACACACCTAGACCCATCCTGAAGATGGTACTCTTCGCTCATGTTAAACTAGAGCTAGAGAGTATATAGATTAATAAAAACTTGAGTTTATTTATTTATTAACAAAATGAAAAGTTTGAGAATAAAGGAATAAAAGGTAAGTATGAAAAGAAAGGAATGCCTGTATACTCGGAGCGTGCATAACGAAGAAAAAAGATTAAATATTTTTCTAACACTCGCATTCCACATCCTCAAACTCGAGTGACAAACTTTGTTTTCGAATTACTGACTAAAAAATTTAAAATTTTTTTGACATAAATATAATACAGAACAACATCAAAAGTTCAGTAATTTACATCGTTCGTGCTACTACTACATTCGGTTGAATATGTAGTATTTTCATCACAAATTCTTTCAATTGGTCTGTAAAGAAAAATAAGCAAAGCATTGTTGATACACTTGCCATATCCAAAAATATATAACCGAACCGATCATGATATTTTATTGGAGTAGTAAAGAACGACATTAATATCATCACTACATATGGAAAACAAACCGCAATCAAGGTCATCACTAATATCACAATACGACGAATCATTTTCAGTTCTCGTTTGGCTCGTGCTAAGGTGTTTAATGTGGTCACATTATTTCCCATCTTTTTCACATATCGAACTATTTTAAAATATATCAACATAAGCATTGAAATCGGTAAAGTATAATTCCACAAGGTTCCAAAAATAGTAGGTGCCGATAGATGAAGTTGTATTTGACAGATTTGATTTTCCACCGTATAAGTAATCTCGTTAGTAAGAACAGCTATACCAGGGCCTATAGCACCGGATAACCATGTTAGGCAAATTAATAAACTTCGATATCCAACTGATTGAAACAATCGATGATTCTGATAAACAACAGTCATGTATCGATACAGAGCTTGCAAGAAAAACGAGAAGTTTAAAGCACAAAAGGCTGAATGAAAAAGATAAACTCGAGTGATGCACAATGAATCTTGGTATTGTAGTTGTTTGAGATCATTGTGTAATGCGAATATTGCCATGGAGAATGTTGAACAGCCCATAATAAGTGAAGCAAAAGATGTATTGGCTACTAGTAACATTTGAACAGTGTGACATGTTTTCTCGATCATGATGATAAAGAGAAAGAAGGTGGCTAATATGATGACGATTACTGAGCAGATAATCATAAAAACATCTGTCGGAATAAACCAGAATTCAGTTGATATGATTGTTGAATTCTCAATAAGTGCGTTTAATTCTACAGTAGTAGTTACATCCATGTCTTCTAGAAAAGAGAATAAAGAGTCAGTGCGAGTTTTAGGATGTGCTCATACAAATAAGACATTTAATCACTCAGCCATGTATGAAATTTTAGAAAGTAAAAAAAAATAGTGGTTACAATTATTACATTATGAGTTCTTTTTTCCTTTTCCGAACACAAGATTTAAAATAAAATATGATGGACTATGATTTTTAAGAAGCATAGAATTACAGAGTAACTCATAAACTTTAGAGAGAATCTTTTCTTTTGAATAATTTCAAAATACATCAATCAAAAGAGAAAAGTTCAATTGTATTTGATCACAAGAAAAATTTAATAATAATGAGTATTCAACTGTAAATAACCTTTAACATTTAAATGTCAAATTTAATTAATATACCGGAAATGCATAATAACAGCTCTCCTCTGTTTTTCTTCTTGAGAGTATCGATGGAGGCAAAGAGAATACGTTTACTTACATTCTCGAGATATATATCATATTAACACACGTATAATCTACACAAGAAAGTGTTTTTTGAGTATTATGAATGAATAACTATAATTTTTCTACTAATCTATAAGCCTTGACTTATTTCACATTTATTAGAACATTGAGTAGGAAAAATGAACTGAAAAAACACGAGGAACAAAATACATTTATTATAACAGGTTATACAATTGTCATAGTTACACAAGTAAGAAATGTTCTTGAATTTATTATTGAAAAAATTAAAAGAAATATTTTACCTATCAAAGCGAGAATAATAGTTGAATATTTGTCTATTTCAATTAAAAAAAAATTCTCCTATCTTGAGAAGACTCTTTTCCTTTTTGAAATGTTGATGGTGCATAAATATATGAAAAATGAAAGGGTTTATCGATGTGCAATAATCGTATTTCTATTTTATTTTTTGTTATATTTTTTATACAAAATCAAAATTGATTGTTTTGAGTAAAGAATAGATAATATAATAAAAATAAAGTATAATTGGTTGTGTTGTAAGAGCGAAAATATAATATTCAATAGTTGTTACATTAACTTCGATGTATTTTTTCTATTCTACTCTTTCTTTTTTCATAAAATCTTCATTTTTATTCAAAAAGAAAACATTTTCAATGTGAAAATTAATAAGAAAATTTGAATTCGATAGTTCTCAGAATCAGAAACATAGATTTGAGGGTGTGGGTGTTGTTACTCATTGCACCCACGCCCACACACTTATTGATTTTCGATTTTATTTAACGCATCAAACAAAATGAAATTAGAAAATGATAAAATTTTGTTAATAGAAGTTCTCAAATTAAATTCAGTTTTCTATTTTAAAAAAAGTTCTTTTTTTTCTTAAAAACAAAATTTTATTTACAAAATTATTTCAAATTTTCCAACTTGATGATTTAACCGATCAACAACAAAAAGATTTCCTTTATTATCAAAAGATAAACCACTGGGATTATTTAATTGATTTGATTGATTTCCTTTTCCATTTCCACCAACAACAATTTCACCTTCTTCTTTTCCTTCACACCAACGCATTACTCGAT